TCAAATAGAAATTATTACTTTGATAGTTGAACATATCCCAACATTTTTGTAAGGATCTTATGAAAATTTAAAAAGTTTATTAACAGGTACTCAAGTGTAATTTGATATTCCTACTCAAGAATACATTTCCAAACAAATATGCGAAATAAATAAACTTTTGTTACAAGACGAAATCAGTATTGATCAAACTTCTGGTTGTAAAGTTTTCTTGAAATTTTTACAGGAAAAATATGATCAAGCAATTGATTCTTTTTCAGATTGTATCAAGAAAATTATTGGTTGGGTTGTGAGAAAGAAGATAATTATTAAAATTCCAATAGTATTTTTCTCTTTGTTGTCTAAATTTACTAACTCAGAATAAACAAGTGATTATTTGAGATAGATCGATCTTATGGATTGGGATGATGATGTTGATTATTAGTTTAAAAATGTAAATCAAAGATTAAAAGAATTATCGGATGGATAATATTGTGATTCATTTTAAGAATTATTTGAATAGATTAAAATAATTTACAACTGCGATGAAAACTAAAAAAAATTAGAAGCTAATTAATTATTAACAGCAAAACAATTTATTTTAGATTTTATTGAACTAGGTACTTATTTTATTGTTAAAAAATTCACAAATGAAAATCTTGATGAAGATAAAATGTTTGATAATTTAATTAATTCTTTTTCGGATTTTGTAAATACTGATGAAAGAATGGAATCTTATCGTGGAATTGTTGGTTTATGTTTGACAATGGTCAGAAATTCTCAAGAAAAAAAGAAAGAAAATAAAGAAAAAAGAAAAGTAGGAAAAAAAACTTGTGAGGAATAACCTTATCAGTCTGAAATTTAATAAATTTTATCTGATATGGGCTAAAATAAATTTCCAGAATGTTTTAATTCTTCTAATTATCCAGATACTTACAATTATTTAGTTGAGTAAATTAATTAAAGTTATTAAAATGATGAAAACTATCAAAACTATCAAAACTAAAAAAACTAACAAAACTAACAAAATGATTAAAATAGTGATTTGGATAGTGAAATAGAAGATTAAAATAGTTAAATAGAAGATTAAAATAGTTAAATGGATTATTCCGACGAAGATCAAAATGAAGATTTTTCAATTGATGATGAAAATTATCTCGATAGTTCAAAAACCAAAACCAGATAACATTACCAAACAAATGAAACTGATAAAAAAAATATATTCGAATTTAATTGAACAATGTTCACAACAATAAATTAGATAAAATATTTTGCTTTTCCATACCAGTTTAGCAGCGGCGATTAAAAAAATCAGATAGTAATTCTTTTCAATGAAGATAATAAACCACAATTCATTCTAAAAAAAACAATAAAATAAAATAAAATCAGTTTAAATTTAATAAAAAAAGATGAAGTATAAATTAAAAAATAAATAATATGGATATAAAAAATAAATACTTACATTTAATATTAAATTACAATTTTTATTTATTATTTATGAATCAATTATTTTTTATCATACTCCTAATAAATAAATATTTAATTATTCATTTAGTAAATTCAATCTATTTTTAATTTTACTAATCTTTTTATTTTTTAAGCTAATCTTTTAATTTCTGCTTTTATTTATTCAGGCAAATGACTTTTAATAAATATAAATTTATTTTTAGATAATAAAAAAAATTTTACTTAAAATTATCTAATTTTAAACAAAAAAAAAGTAATTACTTTATAAATAGATTCAATAACTTTATATTTTTACAGTTGATAATTTATCTTAATTTTAGAAACTTCTCCTCATTACTTATAGAATAAAGATATTTTAAATAACACCTTTAAAACTTAAACATAATTTTTTTGAAAAGTAATAAATGAAATTTACTCAGAGTTAGAGTTAAAAACTAAATTTGTAAGTTAAGTGCAGTTACTTAATCCTAATCCAATATTTTATGCTCCTTTATCACCGATTTTATTGCCCCTTTTCAAACAAAATAAATTAATTGATTAACTATTTAAATATGTTTAAAATATTAATCAAAATGTATAAAATAATTAAAACGTTTTTTAGTTATCAATAAATAAATATAAGATAATTTTACCCAATGTAAAATGAGAGATTCGTTAGGAATTTGCAGTTACCAAGTGCTGTGCCAATAGTAGAAGCTCCATCATCCCCAATTTAATTTTAACTTTTAAATATGCAAATGATGTTTAATTTTAAATTTAAGATATTTTATAAATTAAAACTATTTTTAAATTCAGTTTGAATAAAATGCTTTAACTTAATATTTTTAAAAGTTATAAATGAAATAAATTTACACTATGGCAAATTCTAAATTTGTAAGTTGAGTGCATTTACTCAAACCTAATCCAATATTTTATGCTCCTTTATCACCAATTTTATTGTCCCTTTTCAAACAAAATAAATAAATTTATTAACTATTGAAATTTGTTTTGAAATAATTCAAACATTTTTTAGTTATCAATAAATAAATATAAAATATTTTTACTAAATGCAAAATGTGAGATTCGTTAGGAATTTGCAGTTACCAAGTGCTGTACCAATAGTAGAAGCTCCATCATCCCCAATTTAATTTTTGCTTTTATATAATGCAAATCATGTTTAATTTAAAATTTAAGATATTTTATAAATTAAAAGTATATTTTAATTCAGTTTGAATAAAATATTTTAACTTAATATTTTTTAAAAGTTATAAATGAAATAAATTTACTCTATGGCAAATTGTAAATATGTAAGTTGAGTGCAGTTACTCAAACCTAATCCAATATTTTATGCTCCTTTATCACCAATTTTATTGTCCCTTTTCAAACAAAATAAATAAATTTATTAACTATTGAAATTTGTTTTGAAATAATTCAAAGTTTTTTAGTTATCAATAAATAAATATAAAATAATTTTACCCAATGTAAAATGAGAGATTCGTTAGGAATTTGCAGTTACCAAGTGCTGTACCAATAGTAGAAGCTCCATCATCCCCAATTTAATTTTCGCTTTTTTTATGCAAATCAAGTTTAATTTAAAATTTAAGATATTTTATAAATTCTATTTTATTGTCCCTTTTCAAACAAAATAAATAAATTTATTAACTATATAAATTTGTTTTGAAATAATTCAAACATTTTTTTGTTATCAATAAATAAATATTAAATATTTTTACTAAATGCAAAATATGAGATTCGTTAGGAATTTGCAGTTACCAAGTGCTGCACCAATAGTAGAAGCTCCATCATCCCCAATTTAATTTTTGCTGTATATTTTCAAATCAAGTTTAATTTAAAATTTAAGATATTTTATAAATTAAAACTATTTTTAAATTCAGTTTGAATAAAATGCTTTAACTTAATATTTTTAAAAGTTATAAATGAAATAAATTTACTCTATGGCAAATTCTAAATTTGTAAGTTGAGTGCAGTTACTCAAACCTAATCCAATATTTTATGCTCCTTTATCACCGATTTTATTGTCCCTTTACAAACAAAATAAATAAATTTATTAACTATTTAAATTTGTTTTGAAATAATTCAACGTTTTTTAGTTATCAACAAATAAATATAAAATAATTTTACCCAATGTAAAATGAGAGATTTGTTAGGAATTTGCAGTTACCAAGTGCTGTACCAATAGTAGAAGCTCCATCATCCCCAATTTAATTTTACCTTTTAAATATGTAAATGAAGTTTAATTCAAAATTTAAGATATTTTATAAATTAAAACTATTTTTAAATTCAGTTTAAATAAAATGCTTTAACTTAATATTTTTAAAAGTTATAAATGAAATAAATTTACTCTATGGCAAATTCTAAATATGTAAGTTGAGTGCAGTTACTTAAACCTAATCCAATATTTTATGCTCCTTTATCACTAATTTTATTGTTCCTTTTCAAACAAAATAAATAAATTTTTTAACTATTGAAATTTGTTTTGAAATAATTCAAAGTTTTTTAGTTATCAATAAATAAATATAAAATAATTTTACCCAATGCAAAATGTGAGATTCGTTAGGAATTTGCAGTTACCAAGTGCTGTACCAATCGTAGAAGCTCCATCATCCCCAATTTAATTTTTGCTTTTATATAATGCAAATCAAGTTTAATTCAAAATTTAAGATATTTTATAAATTAAAACTATTTTTAAATTCAGTTTGAATAAAATGCTTTAACTTAATATATTTAAAAGTTATAAATGAAATAAATTTACCTTATGCTAAAATCTAAATTTGTAAGTTGAGTGCAGTTACTCAAACCTAATCCAATATTTTATGCTCCTTTATCACCGATTTTATTGTCCCTTTACAAACAAAATAAATAAATTTATTAACTACTTAAATTTGTTTTGAAATAATTCAACGTTTTTTAGTTATCAATAAATAAATATAAAATAATTTTACCCAATGTAAAATGTGAGATTCGTTAGGAATTTGCAGTTACCAAGTGCTGTACCAATAGTAGAAGCTCCATCATCCCCAATTTAATTTTACCTTTTAAATATACAAATGAAGTTTAATTTAAAATTTAAGATATTTTATAAATTAAAAGTATATTTTAATTCAGTTTGAATAAAATACTTTAACTTAACATTTTTTAAAAGATATAAAGGAAATAAATTTACCTTATGCTAAATTGTAAATTTGTAAGTTGAGTGCAGTTACTCAAACCTAATCCAATATTTTATGCTCCTTTATCACCAATTTTATTGTCCCTTTACAAACAAAATAAATAAATTTATTAACTATTTAAATTTGTTTTGAAATAATTCAAATGTTTTTTAGTTATCAATAAATAAATATAAAATAATTTTACCAAATGTAAAATGTGAGATTCGTTAGGAATTTGCAGTTACCAAGTGCTGTACCAATAGTAGAAGCTCCATCATCCCCAATTTAATTTTCGCTTTTTTTATGCAAATCAAGTTTAATTTAAAATTTAAGATATTTTATAAATTCTATTTTATTGTCCCTTTTCAAACAAAATAAATAAATTTATTAACCATTTAAATTTGTTTTGAAATAATTCAAATGTTTTTTAGTTATCAATAAATAAATATAAAATAATTTTACCAAATCTAAAATGTGAGATTCGTTAGAAATTTGCAGTTACCAAGTGCTGTACCAATAGTAGAAGCTCCATCATCCCCAATTTAATTTTTGCTTTTATATAATGCAAATCATGTTTAATTTAAAATTTAAGATATTTTATAAATTAAAAGTATATTTTAATTCAGTTTGAATAAAATATTTTAACTTAATATTTTTTAAAAGTTATAAATGAAATAAATTTACCTTATGCTAAATTCTAAATTTGTAAGGTGAGTGCAGTTACTCAAACCTAATCCAATATTTTATGCTCCTTTATCACCGATTTTATTATTTGTTTTTATAAAAAATAATTTGAATTTAGTTAATTCCCTCACCGACCATATTTATTGCACATATATAAATAAAAATTATTGACAACTTAAAAAATGTTTAAGGATTTAAATTTATTAAATTGTCATCAATAAATTTAAATTTATCCTTAAAAAAACTAAAATGAATTACGAGAGATTAATATCTAGATGAGTCAACATTTTACATCTACTTAATGTCTTGCTAAAAGAAAGTGCACCTTCTTTTCCAATTAAATTTGCACTTTGAAAAATAATTTTTTAATTTATAAACGATAATCAATAAATTTTACCTTGCATTTAAAGTTAAAGTTGTGAGTTTAGCACAACTACTAATACTTTCTGCAATACAAGATATCCCTCTGTCACCTATTTTATTTTTCCTTTCCAAAAAAAGATATTTAATAAATGATTTATATGCTCTTTAAACAATACAATAAATAAATATAACTGAATGAAATTGTGCTTAATTGAAATAAAATTACCAAAGCTGCAGATTTAAGCTATTAAGCGTTTTGCATCTATGTAATACTTTGCAAATCCAAACTGCACCTTCATCTCCAAATTAATTTCCACTTTTATTAAAAAAAATATTTTTAATATAATTTAGGATTGATAATTAAAAATGTTAATGAGTTTTGAAAAATGAACTTAATTATATTAAAAAATAAATTAATTTAAAAAATTTTACTCTAAATTTAGCTATAAACTGATAAGATTAATTAGATTGCTCATAGTTTCTTCTAATAGAATATTTCCTTAAGCTTCGATATTTTTTAATCTTTCAAATTAAAAATAAATCAATTAAATACCAATAGTTCTATTTATTTTACCTAAGTTCTTGGCAATCATGTTCTCCTTTGTAAAATAAATTTAGGAAAAACAAAATTTGGGAGTGTTTTTAATCATTACTATTTTAATAAAATAAAATTTAAACTATTTTAATTAATTTAAATTATTAAATTAATATTTTATTTAACATAATTTAAGATTAAACTATTAGCTTTTTATTAATGGTAGAAATGAATGACTAGGATTATCAGACAATGTTATAATTTATTAAATAATTTATTCTCTATATTAGGATTTATTAGCATAAAAAATATATTTACCTCACATCAGTTTCAACAAAGTTCTTTATGAAGGAATATTCAGTAAATAATTTATTTATTTAATCATCAGAAGTATTTTCCTTGCTACATGTTAGATTGATAGCAAAAATAATTATGCAATTTAAGATAATAAAGTTAAATGATTACTTAAGATTTAATACTAAAGATTCTAATTTTTAACATTTTAGTAAAGAATTGTTAAGCTAAGCAACTTATTTATTACTAAGGGTGCAGTTTCTATTTATTTTATTAATAATAACAAAAGAATTTAATTTATCAATAAATTAATGAATAAAATGTATGAAATTTTATTTATGTTTAATTTTGTAATAAAAAAGAGAAAAAATTTCAAAATATTTATTATATTAAAAAAAATATTGTTTGTTTTGAAAAATTTATGAATTAATAAATAAATATTTTTATATATTTCTTACTTTAACTGCAAGTCAATATGAGTTTGAGCTTTCAAGTTAGATTTCATTAACTTTTAATTTAAAAAAAAGACTTTATCATAAAAAATAAAGTTAATAATGACGGATACATCTTATAGAATATTTGATGTTTTATTCTATTACTTCCTTTATTTTTAGTTATTTCCCATTTATATTTCTTTGATTATTTATTAATTAATTAATTATTATCAGAAATTAATAATTTTTAGTAATTAAAAAAATTATTGCTTTTCTTTTTTAAATACTCTTATTTAATTTGTCATTTTAAAAAATATACTTATAGATTCTCCTATATTAACATCCATATATATATATTAACATCCATTTTTTGAATATCTCTATCCCTCTCTCGTTCTTTAATTTGTTTGCATGAAATGAGGGATAAGGGAATGAGGTTTTACAGTAATTAATAATGTTTATGTTTTGTTAAAATTGTATTTCTTTGAATAGTAAATTAATTAATTAAAATATTCAGTAAAATAATTAAATAGCATAAAATAAGATGTTTAGTATTTTCTATTTCAACGATTTAGAAAATGTATTTTATTATTTCGCTTTGTTTTTTAAAAATATTTAATTGATCTCTTATCAAAAGTTTCTAAGTTCTCCTTTATCATCTCATGTTTAACTTCATATTGATTTAATGTAATATTTTATTTTTTATAAAAAAAGTTTTTTATTCACCTCTTTTAAATTATTTACTCATTATTAAAATAATTAAGAATTAGATTTTTAATTTAAAATTTTAATTTTTAGTAATAATTAATTAAAATTATTTTTAAATATGAATTGATATTATTTTAATTTATAATACCAAAAAAAATATTCTTAATTAACAATTATATCAATAAAAAATTTATAATTTTAAAGGAGGTAAAATATTGGAGCACCAAACATAACAACTTTGGGATCTGCTTTAGTAAGTTGTAGCAATCTTAAGATCTTAGATCTCTCACTTTCGTAATATTTTACTTTTAAAAAAATCTTTACATTTAAATAATATAATCAATATTTTAACTTACTTATTTGCAAAAAAATAAAGAATAAATAATTTGGGAGCTTAGGGTGCACAAGCTTTAGGATAATCTCTAAAAGATTGCTCTAATATCTAAGATTTAACTATTTCTTTAGAGTAAAATAGATTTTCCTTTTATTAATTTTTTTGATATATTTAATAAAATTGTTTGTATGTTCTTTAAAAAAATAAATTCTAGTTGACTGGCTAATCATTTTATTTTTTAATTTAGCTAATTTTGGAAAATTTTAATTAAATACAAATAGGTATAATAATATAGGAGCAAAGGGTTCTTTTGAACTTTGTAATGCCTTATCTAACTGTCTTAAACTATCTAATTTAGTACTAAAGCTTGAGTAAAATTAATAAAATATTTAAAATTTTTAATTATATTTGATTTTCATTTTAAAATAAATAGTAGCTAGTTTTAATATTAATAGAGATTTTTAAAAAATTATTTTTTTAATTTCATAATTTAGTATGATATAATTAAATTATATTAAAAAGTGTAAACCAAATAGGAGCAAAAGGTGTCATTAATTTATGCTAAGCTTTAACTAAATGTGCTAACCTATCTACTTTAACTCTTTTATTAAGGTTTTTTTTATTTATATATTAAATTTTTGTTCAATGACCATTTTTATTTTGATATTATTCAATTGGAAAATAATAAATAATTTGCTAAATTTTCATTTTTAAAATTAAAATTGATTAGCCTGAATTTATTATATTTATTTATGAAATATTTATTGTCTATTAATGCCTAATTCTTCTTTTTTTTATCATAATTAATTTAAGAATTCATCATATATTTTGATTAAATTTATTAAATTCTGAATCAACAAAAAACCTCCCCTCTTTTTAAACTTTGGTCATATTAGCAAAAATATAAAATTTTTAATTGAATAGCCTACTTTAGTTTAATAATTAATACTTTATTTTTTATAATAGGTTTAATCAGCTAAAAGGAGAGGGAGCTTCAGGTTTAGGTTCTATTTTACCTAAATTTACTTCTCTCTCTAGTTTGAAGCTTGGGCTTGAGTATTTATTTATTCAAATTAATAAATTTTCTATTTAAAAGATAAATTTAATTAAAGAGTAAACGAAATAAATGCAAAAGGGGCTTAAAGTTTAAGCCTAGGTTTAGCAAGCTGCTAAAATTTGAGACAACTAACTTTAAATCTAATGTAAAAATTTTCTTATTAAATGTTAATAATATACAATAAAAAATAATCACTAAAGATAATTTAAAGATTAATTTTTTGTAAAATTAGAGAAAATAAAATTGGTTCAAAGGGTGCTTTAGATTTATGTTCTGCATTAGAAAAAATCTAGAATTTGTCTACATTAAATTTAGATCTTTCGTAAGGAATTTTTATTTAATAAAATATTTTTCAAACAAATCAGAAAAATAAAATAATATGCAATGTACGAACTAAAATGATTTAATATCTTTAAATTTAATTTTTATTTAAGATTTTATTAAATTCTTTACTTATAAAATAAAATTATTTTTCAAAATTAAAGACATAATTAAATTGGAGATTAAGGTTCAACAAATATAGGTTTAGGTTTATAAAATTGTATAAAACTTTATAACTTAACTCTTAGTCTCAAGTATTAATAGTTTATTGAATTTTATTAGTTTTTTAATAATATAGATGAATATCATTTATCAAATAATAAAACAATATTAAGCTAATTTCTACTTTCTTACATATTTTTATATTATTTTTTGGTATTACTAAAACAGTGGTAATTAAATTAGAAAATAAGGCTCATTAAGTTTAATAGATTCCTTAAATAATTCCAAAAGTCTTTATATTTTAAAGCTTATTTTAAGGTAAAAAATTAATTATTTATTAATAAAAAATAAAAAGAAAAAAAAATAATTTTAATTTTATGTATTTTAGTTTAAAAATCTCAAACAAAGCAAAAGAATTTGCTAAATTACTTTTCATGAATATTTAATATTATTATAAAAAAAATATTCTTACATATTTAACATTAGATAAAACCAATTAGATTAGGAAGATGAACTATTACTTAAGAACAGAATTTACAAATTGAGAAAGTTAATAGTTTAATCTATAGCTTTTTGAAATCAAATAACTCTGAGAGCAATATTATAATAAATGAAATATTTTCTTAATTAAAAATAATAGTGTTTATTTTTATATTTTAATATTTCTAAAAAGCTAATATAGATAAAGGCATTTATTTTTAAATATTTTTTTTTAGGATCAGAAAATTTATAATTTTTTTGAAATTTTATAATATTTTTATAAAATAAAACATGAAAAAAAATTTTAATATACATTGTTAGATACAGACAGATGATTATTTTACAAATTGAGTTATAAACAACTTTTTACAGATTTGTTGTATTGAAAGCTATTGGTTTTTATGATATAATATTATTTGATAATATTTTTTATTGATAAATAAGTTTTTTATTAAATAATAAAAATAATATATCATCAATTAAAATTATTCTTTTTATTTTCATTATTTGTTTAGAGCTTGCAACTGATTTCTTTATTTTGATCAAATAAATTGCTTTAAAATTCAAAGAGGTAGTTTAATTACATGTTAATATTCAAAAATATGAGCTTATGTATTTTAAAATAGTGTTAAATTTTATAATTTTATTCAAAAAATAATATTTATCAAACAATATGAATACAACTAATTAATATTGCTTAAGCAAAAGTAATCAAATTGAAAAATAGCGGTTTTCAAACTTTGTATCTATAATTATAGTTATATTTTAAAGTTTTTCTTTTTGTTAAAAAATAAAATTCTTTTTATTTTTTATTTAATAAATAGTTTTTAATATAAATTAAAATAATATATTTTGCTAAAATAGTTTTAATGAATACTAAATTTTACTAAAAATAGAATATTCTTACATTTAGATTAAAATATATAGATTTAAGAGAAGTAATATTACTACAGACAAAAATAATTAATTAAGAAAGTTATTATAATAATTCATATTAAATTAATAATTTATAAGCTGTATTAAAATAATCATAAATATATATAATATACAGTTGGATTGCTTACTTGTTTCTCCTTAATTAACTTCCGCCAAATAAATTTTATTTAATATATAAAAATTATGCTAAAAGCGAAGGGACATATTGATGCATTTAGAATTACTTAAATAAATTATATAAATAGTTAAAAGTAAAAGAACATTATTTAGTTTATCTATTTTAATAATAATTGAAAGCAATTCAACCTTTTTTTTAGAAAGAAAATATCGAATCATTAACTTTCAATATTTATTTATTTTCTTTATTCAAAAAATATTTATTTTTGAATAAATGATAATAAATATTTAATGTAAAAGTTGTATGTATTACTCATATTTTAATAGTTTTTAAATAAAATATCTTTGGGATATTTTTTATAAATTAGCAATTTAGATAATAAGAAAAAATTGATTTTGTTACTTTATATTTAAATTTAGAATGTATAGGATTAGTAATCAAATTTCTTCCATTTAATTTGGTACTATTTGATAACAAAAAAGAATGGATTTAAAAAAAAGAAAAGAGCTAATTTTCAATAAATTTATAAATGGTGGTATTTATTTATTTAATATATTAAAACAAAATGAAGATAAAGATTACTATTGTTAATTATAATTTCTTAAGAAAATAAATAAACAAAGAACTTTTTTTCTTAAAATCAGTTCAGTAAATTAATTATAAGTCAATTTATTTATCTGTTTAGAAACAATTTATTACTTTAGATCCAATTAATAATAAGGATAAAAGAATAATTAATAGCTACATTTTCTTATAAGTCACAAAAATGAATATTTCTTTAATCATACTTTTAACATTAAGTTTAGCTATTTTAGATACACGTGGTTCATAGCATATGTGCAACCATGACTCAGATATATCTTACAACATACCCTCTGATTACATTGAAACATTTGAAGCTAAATTTGGTAAAAGAAACCTATAAGCAGGGTAAAATACTCAACCATTTAGAGTCACTTTTGATGCAAGTTAACTTTACAACAATACAAACGGTGCAGGCATGACAGATGACAAAAGAAATTATATCATCTAAATATTGAAAGCAGCACAAGTTTTCTTAAGAAATTTTATTCAAGTTGTTCCTAGATAAACTCCAATTACTTCTTTATATGGATGGACTTCTTGTGGATAAGCTCCATTTATTGTATATTATCCTCCAGAATTGCAAAGAAATGGAGCAGGAATTCCTAATTCTGATATGCATCTATTAGTTACATTTTTCAACGATGGTACTAGCTCTTAGTTAGCAAGTGCAGGTAACTTTATTTTTATTTTCATAGAATAAGATATGCAAATCCTCCATTTTTAAATAAAATATTGGTCAATAAATAAAATTTAGTTCTACTTTAATATAAAATTAATTCAATAAATAAGCAGCATGTTTATTTTGAAATAATTAGCAAGTTTTATTCATTAATTTTATAAAGTACTGCATATTTAATCAAGAAACTTTCATTTAATTCTGAAAATATGGATATTTTTATTCAATTTATAAAGAAAAAGTTTTTAATAAGGAAAATATGAATTAGATTAACAAATAAAAACTTTAAAATTTGAAATATATTAAAAAATAGGTTTTTGTGAATTGAATCCAGGTCCTACTATTGGTAGAGTTAGATTTAATCTAGCCACTATGTAAATGGATCCAAATAATAGTCTGTTTTAAGATAACTTTTCAGTTGCTCTACATGAACTTACTCACGCATTAGGTTTTTCTGGAGGTGCTGTTTAATATTGGATTGATCCAGATACAGGAAATCCATATGGTTCAAATGTATCAAAAATTTTGACACAAACTACTTTATGGGGTGTTTCGGGAGTAAACAAATTATCCTCTAAAAATGTGCTTTAAGTAACAAAAAACCATTTCGCTTGTCCTTCAATAGATGGAATGTTTTTAGAAAACTAAGGAGGATCTGGATCTATGGGTTCACATTGGGAAAGAGATTTGATTAAGAACGAATATATGACTGCTTCTTAGGTTTTAAAATCTTATGTTGTAAGCGAGTTTACTGCTGCTCTTTTAAGAGATACAGGATTCTATGCAGGTATTAATAGTAACATGGTTGGTACAATTTATTGGGGTAAAAATAAAGGATGCGATTTCTTTTAAAATGTATGCAATTCTACAACTACAACTTACCCTGAATTTCCTGTAAAATAAAATGGCTAATAGTATTGTGACTTTTATGGTATGGCTATAGGTATAGTAACTTAGAATTTGGATACATTTTCATAATGTCCAGTCGCATAACCTTATTCTAACTAATTTTGCTAGGATCCAGCTTTCGAACCTGCTGAGTGGAGTAGGATTACTACAGGAGTAAATTCTTATTGCTTTATGTCTAATTCAGTAAAGAATGGGTGGTCATCAAATTCTCAAGGTTATAATTCAAGATGCAATATAATAAAATGCAGTGCAGATTTTTCAACAATAACAGTATATCTTTGGCAGTAGGAGACTATTACATGCAATACACCAGGTTAAGTAATTGATTTAGCTAAGGCTACATCAACCACTTATGGAAACTTTACATGCCCTTATGATTTCCAAATGTTTTGCAGTTACCCTAAGACATGCCCAAATTAATGCTCATCAAATGGAATATGCAATAATGTAAACTTTTATTTCTTCAAGAATTTTTTGATAAATAAATTATTTAAAAATAATAGGGTTACTGCATCTGCATTGATGGATATACGGGATCAGATTGTTCAATCCCTTGTGCATATCCAAATGCTTATGATGGGACCAACTGTATTACTAAATGTGCAGCTTCTACTTATAAAAACCCTGATAATGTAAATAATAAAACTAACTTATTTTAATTTATTGTTTTATTTATTTATTTTGATGTCTTTCATTTCATTTATCCAAACCAACGCAAAATAAATTTTCTTTACTAAAAATTTGAAACATTTTTCTATTCATCAACTTTTAAAGATTCCTAATAATTTTTTTCAAAATTAAATAGATAAAAATATCTAATAAATATTTTAATTAAAATTTTATAATAAATTAGACATGTTAACCAAATTGTCCATCAGGATATTACAAAGACTCATCATCACAAACTTGCATTTTATGTCATACTTTTTGTTCTGCATGCACTGGTGCTTTACCTTCTTAATGCTCTTCATGTAATATGGGATATCAATTGAGCGGTAGTACTTGTGCTTCTTATACATGCGATCAAACATGTGGAACCTGTAATGGTTCAGGCCCTAATAAATGCACTAGTTGCCTATCTGGATATACCTTAACTGGCTCAACTTGTCAACCAACATGTGACACTTCGTGCAAAACTTGTTCTTCTCAAAATAATCCAAATTCTTGTACTTCCTGCAAAGATGGTAGCTATTTAAACAATAATTAGTGTATAAAATGTCCTACTCCATGTGGTACTTGTGTTCTCTCAAATTCTTAAGTAATCTGTAATTCATGTACTCCAACTGCTTCTTACACTTATGATAGTGTTAATAAAGTCTGTAATCCAGTTTGTGATCCTTCTTGTCTAAGCTGCACATAGCCCTTAAATAGTAACGCATGTTCTTCTTGCCCTAGTGGATCTTTCATTCAAGGCAACTTTTGTCAGCCTTGCTAATCTCCTTGTAAGACTTGCTAAAACTCAGCTACTTCTTGTAGAAGTTGTGTAAGTAGTACCAACTACACATATGATTCAGTAAATTTTGTTTGCTAAATGATATGTCATAGCTCATGTACTTAATGTACTAAACCTAACGACTAAACTTAATGCACAAAATGTGCTGATGGTTATTATTTAAATGGAACAACCTGCACTTAATGCAACAGTCCATGTAAATTATGCTCTTCTGCAACCTAATGTCTTTCTTGTGTGAACAACACAGATTACACATATGATCCTAATGGAAAATAATGCATATCTAACTGCTATAAGTCTTGTTCTAGCTGCTCTAAGCCAAACGACTCTAATTCTTGCTCTGCGTGTAATGATGGATATTATTTATCTGGTTCATAATGTCTCTAATGCAATTCTCCTTGTTCTAAGTGTTCTACAAATGCTAATCAATGCACAGGTTGCGTTAGTGGGTATTCATTAGATTAAAGCTAAAATAAATGCAATATTCAATGTTACTAAAATTGTAAGACATGCTCAAGTCCTAATAATTAGCAGGCATGTAATTCTTGTATTGATGGCTATTTCCTCTCAAATAATTAATGTCTGCAATGTCAATCTCCTTGTGCTACTTGCAGTAATTCATCCACAAATTGCTTAACATGTGCAAATAACTATTAAAAGAATGGTTCAAATATTTGTTAACCAATTTGTGATAGCTCTTGCAAATCTTGCAGTTCTCCTAAAAATGCTAACTCTTGCACTGATTGCTTTGATGGAAATTTTTTGAATACTAATAATTAATGCGCTTAATGCTAAAAACCTTGTCAGAATTGTGTTTAATAAGCAACAAAGTGTACTAGCTGCATAAATACTACTGATTATACTTTTGACAGTATTAACTAAATATGTAGTCTTGTGTGTAATAAAACTTGCTCTTCATGCTTTGCTCCTAATGATAATACTAAATGTAATTCTTGCATAGATGGATACTATATTGATGGAACTACTTGCAAATAATGTAACAGTCCTTGTAGTAAATGTAACTAATCTCCTAATTAATGTACTGGATGTGTTGCAAATTATAAACTAAACAATTCAAATTAATGTATTCCATCTTGTGATCAATCTTGTAATACTTGCTCAAAACCATTAGACAAGAATTCTTGTATTACATGTAATCCAGGATATACTATGGTTAGTTCTTTATGCTAATAATGCACTTATCCATGTTCTGAATGTTAAACAAACTAAACTAATTGCACTAAATGTGCACCAAGTCATGTTCTTAGTGGAAATGTTTGCTAACCAACATGTGATGAAAGTTGTTTAACTTGTTCAAAACTTATAGATCCTAATAGTTGTACAAGCTGTAATCCTGGATTTTATCTATAAGTTGGTAGTCAAGATGGTTAGGGTTCTTGCAAATAGTGTTAAAATGTTTGCTTGACATGTAAAGATGGATAAAGTTGTTAATCATGCATTACAGGATACTTACTTTAAAATGATGGATCTTGTAGCCCAATTTGTGATGCTTCTTGCTTAACTTGTTCAAAACCAAACGATAGAAATTCTTGTTAATCATGTAGTGCTCCTCTAGTTTTACAAAATAACTAATGTTAATAATGTGGAGAAGGATTATATTTTGACAGTGGGTCTTGCTCTAATTGCAGTGATAATTGCAAAAGCTGCTCAAACAAATAAAAATGTGAAATATGCAAGGAAGGATATATTTTAGATTCTAGTTAAAATTGCATAAAAAGTAATACTTGCCACTTAACATGCTAAAATTGTATCGGTGATTCCTACTTTTAATGCACCTTTTGTGCTCAAAATAGATCATTAGTCAAAATAGATGACTCTTTAAGTTATGGAATATGCTAATGCCCAGAAGATACAACAGATGATAATGAATCTGAATGTAGTTAATCTAAAGTACAAAAAAATATTAAATAAACCATAATTGGTACTTTTGCAGGAACTGCTTTTACATCCATTCTAATAAGTAAATTAATTAATAAATAAAATTTACTAATATGTTAAACATAAAAATATTATAAAATAGGTATTGGATTACAAAATCCTTTAATAGCTTTATCTTATTTCTAACTAAGCTAAGGTATAAGTTATTTGAATTTAGTAAATGCTAAGCAATCGGTAGGATTTGATGAGGCTTTGAGAGTGATTTCATTCTCAAACTTTGATTTCTAATAATTTAAATCTCCATCTTAACATAAAAATAGAATTTTGTCTAGCTCAAACAACATAGATTTAGTAAATGGAGAACAAATAAATTAAAACCCAAAAATTGCTTTAAATAATAAAAATTATAACTTCTTGCAGAATTCATAACCTATTTTATGGATTTAAGGTAAATTTATAAATAAATTTAACATTTTTGAAAATAAAAGGGATAGAATATTTTCAAATATATACTAATAACTTTTAATTAAACAATAGGATTTGCTTGGGCTATTAGCCTTTCAACTCATTTGATCAGTAAATACATTAAAGTATAAAGTGCTTTTATAAAAAATATTAAGAAATACACTGTAATTTCACTTCCTTTAATTACTTATGCTGTGTGTTCTTAAGAAATGTGGCTTTGTATTTTTTATTAATTTGTGCTTTAATCAAATGGATTATCAAATGCTGGATAAACTGTTTGTAGTGTCTTTGCATTTATTTACATGTTTGCTGTTTTATGCTATTTGTTTTACAAGCTAGAATACAAGAAATGCCTAAATACTAGATAATTCAAAAAATCATTGTAAACAATCGATGTTAATAGTCCTTAAAATCTTTAAATTCCATCTGACCTTAATTTAGAAGATTAAAAAAAATTTTACTTCTTGAACATATATGTAAAATAAGACTCTTTCGCAACTAGAAACATAATTTAGATAATAGTTTTATTGAAGATGATAATCTCAATAGCTATATCATGCATTTCTAATAATGCAATTGCCCAAATAATTTTATTAATCCTTAGCTACTTTGCCTTTTGTATTTACATAAGTAAATTTCAATTAAAATAAGCATCTATTTATTAATTTATACTAAAAATAATTAATTAGCTGCATTCAGACCTTTAAAGCAGGTTAAACATAATGCCATCCTACTTTCTATTTACTTTATTACTACAGTGATTAGTATTATTTATGCAGTTTCAATTAATTACTAAAACGATTCTTAGACAAGCAAAACATTATCATTGGTGATGCTAGTTATTATTATTACATCATATGTTGTCTTTCTCTCTTTCTGGACTTTGATTTTGCTTCATTTAATTTACCAATGGCTCAAAAAATGTATCTATAAAGATTTCTAGTTTAATCCACAAGAAATGCCAAAGTAGTTACCTCAGCATCCAATTCCTTAATCTAAAGATGAATAAGTTAGTTAACTTAATATGATTGAATAAACACATTAACAGTTAGAGTTAAAATCAGGACAATTTTCTTAAAATCTAATGTCACCAGATAGAAGCTTTCCTGGATTTAATTAGGCTAAAATTTTATGATTTATATATTGAAATAAATCTATATTTATCAATTTATATTCACACAGTTTAAAATTCATTAAATAAATAATTAATATACTGTTTTTTTCTAAAATATATTTGAGTCAGTACTTTTATTTTTGTCAAATTACTATTTTTACAAAAAATTTCTTTTTTTCTAAAATATTAGCATCAACACCAAAATATCCCATTTACCTTGCTGAGCTTGAAGAAATTTAAACATTTCTTTAAAAATTAGTCAATACCAAATTTTCTCAATAAAGAAAAATTTTTTGCCTATTTTACGAATTTTAAATTACTTTTATTTAAAATAATAATATATTTACAATTATTACTTAATTATAGTTGGAAATCTCATTAATCTTAGCATTATTTGCTAATAAATATAGTTGTGAAAATTATAAACCATGTGATTAATCTATTAAATAATTTATAAAGAGTTTTTAAAAATTTATCCAAATAAATAATCATTAATAAATTTATCCAATTTATCATATATAATTTTAAAATAAAATACTGATTTATACATACATACATACATACATACATACATACATACATACAGTGCTTACGGTCAATTTTTACAAAATTATTTAAATATCAACTTTTAAAAAAAAATAAATTTATCTTTTATTCATTTAAAAAAATAAAATAATTTAATTTTTTTTAGCATATGTGTGATTTTTATAAAACAAATATTTAGCTATAATTTAGCTAAAATTAGTAAAATGAAAAATTTTTATTTGATATGATGTTGCTCATGTGCCTCTTTTTTGCAAATTACCAATAAATATGGATGAAATTTGTTAATTAAAAAGAAATTATCATATTTAGTATTATAGTACCAAATAAAAAAAAAGTAAATTGATTTAATTACTGATAACACCTGATAATTTAAACGATATTTATCAGAAATGCTCTATTTTTTGTATTTAAATAGAAGATTTTTAAGATGCTAATTTGATTATTATATTAATTAGATAGTCAAAGATATCTTTTAAATTTAAGCAAAAAAGTAAATTAGTTAATAAATCACTTAGAAAAATAGTTAATATGTATTTTTCTTTTATCTTAATTTCTTCAATTCTTATGATACCCTTAAACGCTATTAATGAGAAGAAGCATGTGTGTAATCATGATAATGAAATATCTTACAACAATATACCCTCTGACTATTTTGAAACATTTGAAAATAAATTTGGGAAAAGGTTTCTCCAATTTTCTGAAGATGCTTAACCATTAAGATTAACTTATGATATTACCTAACTTTCTAACAGTGCGAACGGAACAGGAATGACAGATGCTAAAAGAAATTACATAGTTAAAATACTTAAAGCTGCCTAAGTTTTCTTTAAAAATCTCATTCAAATATAACCTAGATCTACTCCAATAAAATCATAAGGACTTAGATTTTGTGGTTAAGCTCCATTTATTATGTATTATCCTCCTGAATTATTGAAGAATGGTTAAGGTATTTATAATTCTGATATGCATCTATTAGTGACATACTTTAATGATAATACTAGTTCCTAATTAGCAAGTGCAGGTAAATTTTTTTTATTCATGAAACTATTTGCTTAAAAATAAAGCTTTTTTATCCATATTTTAGGGTAAGCTACTTTAGTTCTACTTATTATTATTTTTTCAGTATTAATGAATTAATTATTAATTATTTTTTGTGATCTTATTTTAAAAAGGAAAAAATTTGCTTGTTTCTTTTAATTAATTAATAAATATATTTTATGGTAATTAGGTTTTTGTGAGTTAGATCCAAATCCAATCATTGCAAGAGTTAGATTCAACATTGGAACTATGAGTATGTCAGAAGACAATACTACCTTCTAAGAAAACGTTTCTGTAGCCCTTCATGAACTTACTCATGCTTTAGGTTTTTCTGGAGGTGCAGTTCAATATTGGATTGATCCAGAAACAGGAAGGCCATATGGATCTTCGACTGTTTCTAAGGTTTTATAATATACTAATCTGTGGGGTTTTTCAAGGGTGAGCAAAATATCTTCTTAAAATGTCCTTCAAGTAGCAAGAAACTATTTTGCTTGTTCAACAATAGATGGAATGTTTTTAGAAAATTAAGGTGGATCTGGATCTATGGGATCGCATTGGGAAAAAGACTTAATTAGGAATGAATATATGACAGCTTCTTAAGTGTAAGGAAGTGTAATCAGTGAGTTTACTGCTGCTCTACTTAGAGATACTGGCTTTTATGCAAGTATTAATAGTAACCTTCTAAGCCCTATTTACTGGGGTAAATACAAAGGATGTGATTTCTTCTATAACGTATGTAATTCAACTACAACATCTTATCCAGAATTTTAACCAAGTAATAGCATTAATTAATAAAAATGCGATTTTTACAATATGGCTATAGGAATTGTAAGCTCTACTATTGATATTTTCTCATAATGTCCAATTACCTAGCCTTATCAAAATGAGTTTTGCTAAGACCCATAATTTAAACCGAATGAGTAGAATAGAATGAACACTGGAGTTAATTCATATTGCTTTTAGTCAACTGCATTAAAAAATGGATATACTTCTAATTCTTAGTATAAAAACTAAAGATGTAATAAAATTAATTGTAACAGTGATTTTTCAATAATCACTGTTTATCTTTGGCAATAAGAGTCATTTAACTGTACCTCACCAGGATAAGTGATAGATTTATCTAAAGTTTCAACAACAACTTATGGAGTTTTTACATGTCCTTAAGATTTTTAAATGATTTGCAGTTAACCTAAAACTTGTCCTAATTAATGTTCATCTAATGGAGTCTGCATTAATGTAAAATTTATTATTTTTTTAAGTAGAGTTCTAAAGAATTTTATAATTTTTAGGGATACTGTATTTGTATTAATGGATATGCAGGATAAGATTGCTCTATAAAATGTGATTCTCCTAACGTATATGATGGAACTAGATGTATTTCTTAATGCCCTAATAACACTTTTAAAAATCCAGATAATGTAATTTAATTAAAATAAATATATATTTTTTATTTAACTCTACTCCATTCAAAAATTAACGAAACCCCATTTAAAAATAATAAATATCCTATGAAAAAAGGTTACAAAAAAATTTTTTAGTATAAGGGTATGATTATGAACAAATTATTCAAAGAATTTTGTGAAACAAAAATATTTTTTTTTGTTGATATTTTATTTAATGTTTAAAAAAGTAAATATTTTTTAATCAAACTATTTTTTTAATTGATGAAAAATCGAATATTTTTTAAATATTTAAATTAAAAATAGACATGTAAGCCAAGCTGTCCTAAAGGATATTATTAAGATTATTCATTATAATCTTGCCTTTTATGTCATTCTAATTGTTCTACTTGTACAGGTAGTTCACCTTCATAATGTTCTTCTTGTAATTTAGGTTTTGAGTTAGATGGTACTACTTGTATTGAACATATCTGCCACGAGTCATGCGGGACATGTTATGGTTCATAATATGACTAATGCACTAGCTGTTAATCTGGTTATACTTAAAAAGGTTCAACATGTATTTCAAACTGCCACTCTTCTTGTAAAACTTGTTCTGTTTTTTATGATGCTAATTCTTGCACTTCTTGTGATGATGGATTTTATTTTAACAATAATTAATGCATTTAATGTCCATCTTAATGTGCTACTTGTGAGACCTAAAATCAAAATGGTACTTTAATAGTTTAATGTATTTTTTGTAATTACGGATATACAATGATTAATGATATTTGCCTCTAGTGCACTTATCCATGTGCTGACTGCTATGATAACTAAACTAGTTGCACAGAATGTGCCAGAAGCCATATACTTAATGTAAATGTCTGTGAGCCTACATGTGACGAAAGTTGTTAGACTTGTTCTAAGTTTGTTGATCCTAATAGTTGTACTAGTTGTTATCCTGGATAATACCTAGAAACAAGTAGCTAAGTAGATTAAGGTACTTGCATACAATGCCAAAGTAACTGTTCAACTTGTAGAAATGGATAAAGCTGTGATTCCTGTATTTCTGGTTATTTATTATAAAGTGATGGAATTTGTACACCTATTTGTGATGAATCCTGTTTGACTTGCTCAAGTCCAAATGATAGAAATTCATGCTTATCTTGTAGAGCTCCTTTTGTATTGTAAAATAAGCAATGCTTGTAATGCGGAAACGGATTTTATTATGACAATGGATCGTGTGTTAGCTGCAGTTAAAATTGTTAAAGCTGCTAAAATAAATTAAAATGTAATGTTTGTCTTGAAGGATATAACTTAGATAAATATTTTAATTGTGTTCCTTTAAATTCTTGTCATTAAACTTGTAAAAATTGTGTTGGGGATTCTTACTTTTAATGCACTTCTTGTCCTCAAAATAGGCAATTAATTAAATTAGATGCTTCTTTGAGCTTTGGGATATGCTAATGTCCAGAAAATACTACAGATTATAACGATTCTGATTGTCCATAGTCTAATACATAGAAATATATTTTATAAACTGTAATTGGATCTTTTTCAGGATCAGCATTGACTTCTCTTTTAACGAGTAACTTTTTTTATCATATTTCAACAAAAAAATAATTTAAAAAATAAATTAATAGGTATTGGATTTTAAAATCCTTTGATAATTTTATCATACTTTACACTTAGTTAAGGCATAAGTTATTTCAATTTATTGAATGCCAAACAATCAGTTGGATTTGATGAGGCTTTAGGGATAATTTAATTTTCAAATTTTGAGTTTTAATCATTAAAATCTATAGATGAAGTTAGTAATTCAACAAGAAATTTATCTGAATAAAATCCTGCGTTTTAATAAAGCAACATCACTTCAATCACTTACAACCCTAAAATAATTCTAAATCATAAATCAAATAAGTTCTTACAAAACTCACAAGTCATTTTATGGATTTAAGGTAAATTTACTTTTGATTTATTAAACATTTTATTGGTAACAAATAAATTTAATATTAAACTTTAGTTTAAGAAAATAATTATTAAATTAAAACCTATTTTTATAAATATTTTAAGAGTAAAATCTTATTATTAATTAATAAAATGAATAGGTATTGTTTGGATAATTAGCATTTTTACTTATTTGATAAATAAAAAGATGAAAATAGAGAATTGCTTATTCAAAAATATACAGAAATATATTTTTATTTCTATTCCAATAATTATTTATGTGACATGCTCGTAAGAAATGTGGCTTTACATTTTATATCAAATTTAATTGTAGTAAAATGGGTAATCAGACTAATTATAATTTGCTTGTAGCCTAATTGCATTTGTTTATATGATAGCAATCTTAGTTGTTTTGTTTTACAAGTTAGAATACAAAAAATGTTTAAAATTTCAATCATCCTAAAACCCTCAAAATATTACTTAAGTTGCATAGACCTAAGCAACTGAGATAAATTAAGAAAATAAATAACTTTTTTATTTTATTGATAAATATGTGAAATAAGATAATTTTGCCACAAGAAACATAATTCAAATAATAGTTTTAAAATAAATGATAGTTGCTATTGCTATAATTTCTGAAAATGCATATGTACAAATAATATTATTTATCTTTTGCTATTTTGCTTTTTGTCTTTATACAGGTAAAACTTTTAAAACATAATTAAATATTTAGTTTTTTTTATAATTAGGAATTTTTAGACCTCTAAAATAATTTAAATAAAATATTATATTGCTAACAATTTACTTAATTAATACTACACTTAGTGTTGTTTATGCAGTATCTATCATCTACTAAAATGATCCATAAATAAATAAGTCCTTATCTTTAACGATGCTTGCCATAGTTATTTCAGTGTATGTTATGCTTTTTTCTTTCTATACTTTAATATTACTATCATTTACTTATAAATACATTAAAAAAAGAAATAATAATCAAATTAAAAATCAACCTAATAATATACCTTAAAAATCATCTGAAGTTGAGTTACCATAAGTTTAAGAATAAATTATAATTTAACTCAAAGAATAGTAAAATTCGCATTCGAACTTTTAGATAAAGACTGTATAATTAAATTTAAATTAAATCGAGGATTAAAAAAATTAAAATAAATAGACTTAATTATGAAAACAAAATTGAATGGTTTTTAATATGTGTTATTATTTATTGTTTATTTATAGACTTCAAATTTAAATTAATTTGAGGATTAAACGAATAAAATTATTTAGACTAATTATTAAATAAAAATTGAATTTTTTTGAGTAAAAAATAATATTTGTTGTAGATTTCAGTTTAAATATTCTATTTATTTTTTTATTCCATTTAAAAATTTAATGATTTAAAAAGAATTTTTTCATCTTTTTTCAACTATAAAATTAAAAAAAATTAACTTATCAGAAGCTAAATCACTCAATACAGGGCTGATTTGAAAAATATAGCATTTAAAAAAATAAAAATAAATGAAATTTCTTTTAATTACTTACAATATTTAAATTAATTTGCATTTTTATAAAAAATTGATAATGTTAAGCAACTTATATATTAATTTTTTTAATTTTTATATTTATTGTAAAATTAGTAAGTCTATCTTATTTTGTTTGTTAATAAAAAAACCTAAATAAATAAATAAATTTACTATATATTTTGTTTATTGTTAAATTATGTTAACAAACTAAATAAATAAATAAATTTACTATATATTTTGTTTATTGTTAAATTATGTTAACAAACTAAATAAATAAATAAATAAATAAATAAATAAATAAATAATTGTGAAATAATAAATTTATTTGATTAGTATAAACTAAAGAGGAATTAAAGACTTGATTGATATTCAAGAATCAATCAATCATTTTGTGTTTATAACTATTAAGGATTTTTATTTAAAAAGCAGATTTTTGCATTAATTTTATTAAGCTTAACTGAGTTTTTTCCATCCATTATTAATGAAATTAAGTATGACTGTATTTATGTTTTTATTTTAACTGATTAATTTTATTATGTATTTCATTTAATTTATTTCGTTTTCAATAAATAATAGTAAACAAAGTAATTTTTCATAATTTTTAAATATATTCACTTGAGAATCAAAAGAATTTTCATTTCTTAAGTCAATTATTAGTTCTTATAAATTGTTAAATTTTTACATTATATAATATTTTCTAAATGATTCACTAAATATTATACTCTGATATTTTATATGTTTTATTAATCTTTATATATTTTATATTTAAAAATCTTCCTTTTTTACTTCAAAATATCGATCGAATTTTTTATTTTAAATTAAAATAAATATCTACTAATTTAAAGTAGCAATCTTAAATTCAAAGCCTCTTTCATCTTCATCTTCATCTTCGAATGTATTATCCATTTTTATTTTAAGTATTTTTTAAATTTTACTTTTCAGTTATTATTAGATTATTGAGTAGTCTTAGTCTTAATATTTGAACTCCTTTTGAAAATCTAAATTATTTTGAACAATATCAATACTAAAATTAGGAATATTAGGTTAAATAATTTCAAGAAGATTCTTCAGTTCTGTTAACACAGAAATCTCATTTTAGGAATCAAATTAATATCCTCCAATTATTTGAAATAAATAAGAGTTACTTGTTTCTGATTAAGCATGGTCGTTTGTTAATTAATTATTAAATTAAATAGAACTTTAAAACAAACTATCTTCATGATTATTCAAATTAGAACTTTGAAGATAAGTTGATAATTTTTAATAATGCAACTAAAATTACTCTAATTAAATATTATCAAGTTATTTCCATTCATCAAAAATATCACCCTTCAAATGTCTAAAATCTGTATTTTAAATTGATATCTCATGTAAGGTTGCTTATAACGAAACTACTAATTATTAATATTTGATTAATTCTAAATACTATGAATCGTATTCACATATTTTGCGTAATTTATTGTTTGGAAGTATATATATTCTGTCATAATCAATAGAAAACTTAAGTAAATTTATTTACTCTTTTATATCTAAATATTATTTTAAAATTTCTTGTTTTGGTTTATCGATTAAATCATTTAAATGTTAAATTAATAAAGTTTCAAACTTGCATTCACTTTATTTTTGTAGGTTAATTTCTTCTTCTTCAATCTCAGATTTAATTAAATTAGAATACTGTTCATCAAACCTTTCTGAATTTATTTTTTTAATAGCGACTTCAAATTTTTATTCCTTTTAAAAGTTTTCTTAACATCCAAAAACAATGATCTTTGAAGGGCAAATATTGGTTAATCGAATATTGAATTTAGTAAATAATTGATAACTAATTTCTACAAGCAATTAGTATATGAATAATTTGTTTTTAGATTATCCTCTAAAAATAGTTAATAAATCTTCTAATGAAGGATATTTTTAAAATTAATTTCTAAAATATTTATACTCTGTTAAAAGATAAAAATGTTTTTCTAATACAATAATCTCTGTGTTTATTGCATTTTAAATGATGTTTGCTTATAAATTTATTAAATTTTCTTCATCTTAAGCCTTTTAAAAGCAATTAAATTTCTTTATTAATAAAGTTTTCCAAGTTTTATTTTATAGAATCTTTAATTCTACATAATCAATGTCATATGATAGCACTTAGAAATAATCATACTTTGGATGTTATTAAATTAGCAAGAATAGTTACTCTGAATGATATTATAGAATATCTGAATAGAATTCTTTTATTTTTTCTAAAAGATTTTCCTTTTTTATTTTTAAAAAAATTGCATTTTTAAAGCTATTTATTTGGTTAAGTATGTATTATTCTTAATTAAATTCTTCATCTAATTATAATTGCAGTTAAAGTTCATCTTCTACACTATCCTAAGAGATGTCATCTTATAAATTTTCATTTTCTTATTCTTATTGATTATTGTCATATTCTACCAACATGATTTATCCTTAATTTGTAATTTATTATTTTTGCTTTGGTTAAAACTCTTGGAATTATGTAAAATGCAGACAAATTGGAATTTAGTTCAATGCTTAAAGATCAAACTATTCCTTCACTTTATATCTTTGTTTTTTACTGATATTTGTAATCTTGTTAAAAAAATATTTCTAATACTTACACAAATCAAATAAATTGATTTTTAGGTTGTTAATACAAAATATTGGAAAATAATCACCTAAATCTAAGAATTATTCACTGAAAAACTCTTTAAGCTTTTCGATTGCACTTTTAAAAACTGGTTAATCTTAATAATTATTCAGCTAGCTAAAAAAACTTTCTTCAGGGTATTCAAGCTCAAATATGTAGAAATTTTATTTATTATCAAGATAATATGAATCATAAATTTAATAAATTAAATCCTTTCTCAGAAACTATTTACTTAACTTGGTATAATAGTTTATCTCAGTTTTCATTTTTCCTTCAAATACAATAAGTTGTTTCTTAACATTTTTTACCTTATCAAACGCATTTAAAGACATAAAATAACCATCATAATTTAATTTTATTTGATTGTTATTTTCATTTATCTCAAGCTCAAAATTAGGTTTAAAGACATTTAAGCATACTTCTAAAAATTTTATCAAAAGATTTTTATATTCAAATTAGTAATCTATTTCTATTTAAGAGTAAGCCTTTTTGTAGAAGAAATCTTTGCTGTATATCTCCATTTTAGAAAAATTTTTTACCTTATTTACTTATTTATTTATTTACTTATTTTTTTAATTATTTATTTTTTAATTAGTTGATTGATCTTTTTGAAGATTTTTTTTGAAAAGGAAAAAATTTTGGCTCTCTCTCAAAATTGATCAGATAGATTATTTATTTGAAATTAAAAAAGAGTTAGTAAATAAATGTGTTAATATATAAATTTAACTTTATTGTTAAACATTAATTTATCACTTAGCCAATGAAAATAATATAAGATTAATATATTAAAAATATTGAGAGTCAGTTCATACATAGATAGATAGATAGATAGATAGATAGATAGTTCATTTATTTTATTAATTTTTTGTTCATAAATTTACTCTACTTTTTAGTTTATTTTTCATATTAATTTATTTTTGGTGCTTAAAATTAATCAGACTGATTTTTGATTTGAAAACTCAGAAATTAATTTTTATGCTTTGTTTCTCTTTTGGATACGAATCTTAAATATTGCAAGCTAACAATTTTAACTATGAATACTCTAGGTATACAATTGATCTTAACTATCAATTAAATTAGTTTTTTATCCATAAAAAATTACTCTGAAATTTACTTTATTTTTCCTGTTTCCATACATAATTTTGACACTTTAAATTAATCTGTCGAACTAATTTTTTATTTAAAAAACTATGAAAATTTAATTTTTTTTATTTTTCAAAGATTCGTATGATAACTCAATAAGATTAAGATTAAAACTTAATATTTGTATATTTATTTAGGTTTAAAATTGATCTTAACTGTAAATTAAGCTATTTGTTTTTTCATATGTTATATATAACTCTTGTTTTTAGTTTCTTTTAAATTTGGCGCTTAAAATTAATCAGACTGATTTTTTATTTTAAAACAGAAATTTTATTTTTATTCTTTATTTCTTAAATATTCGCATGATAACTCAACAAGATTAAGATTAAAACTTAACTTATTAATATTCTAGGTTTAAAATTGATCATAACTGTAAATTAAAGAGCTTTTTATTTGCTCAAATAATAGGTCTAGTTTTTAATTTAGTTTTCATGTTATTATTTTTTACCGCTTATAATTAATCAGATTTTTAATTTGAAAACTCAGAATTTTATTTTTATTTCTCAAAATTCAGATGATAAATCAACAGGATAAGGTTAAAACTTAACATATGAATATTTAAGTTTAAAATTGATCTTAAAATTAAGATATTTATTTGCTCATATAATATAATTCTTGTTTTTAGTTTGCTTTTCTTTTTGGCGCTTAAAATTAATCAGACTGATTTTTGATTTGGAAACTAAGAAATTTTATTGCTATTCTTTATTTCTTAAATATTCGTATGTATTTAATTAAATCAACAAGATGAATATTAAAACTTAACTTATGAATATTCTAGGTTTAAATTGATTTTAACAATAAATTAATGAGCTTTTATTTTGTTTGTTTGTTCAAATAATAAGTCTCGTTTTTAATTTTATTTTAAATGCTTTATATATATATAGAGCCCTATGATACTTACTGCCTTTTATAAGGCTAATAACTATAAGAATTATAACAAATTTTAAAAATTAAATCTAAAATAAAAAAAATTCTTGTTGTTTTTTAGGTTTCGAAACCTATTTTGATATATTTTTTTATAATTTAAATTTTCTTTGAATTAAAATATTTATTTATTATTCACTCAATATATATTTCCTAATCGATAGGTAAATCATAATTCATTATTTGAAAATGGCAATAATTAAAATTCTAATTTGTTTCTATTCATTAGTCTTATAATTTTTGTTTTTAAATGCTATATAATTTTTCGATTAACAACCGTATGTATAATTGAATTAAATAATATCATCTCTAACAATGTCATCATTTTTTAGTTCTTTTATTAATGATCATATCTTTTTTAATATAATAAAGCTAAAAGACATTGTAAATACCGTAATTCTTATAATGTTCTAGTATTAAGTACTACTATCTTAATTAATAATATCAGTCAGTAAATATATTTTTAAATAAGATTATAAATTAATTTCTTAGTAAAAATTAAAAGAACTAATTTTTTATATCTTGCTTGAAAAAACACTTTATAAAGAGCAAAAAATTATTTTTTTATGGAATAAATTTTATAAAAATAGATTTTTACTTTATATTTACATTAATCAGAATATATTGTTAATTAATATCAATTATTCTTATTATTTAGTAATAAACTAATAAATTATTAGCATGGTCTAGACTCTGCTTACCTTAAAGTAACAATTTACTCATTTTTAAATTTTAATATAATATTTATGCTAAATTAATACTAACCATCTTTTCAAAGGTCATAGATTTATAATTTGATGTTTAAAAATAAACTATTTAAAAGTAAAATTATAAAATACAATAAATGATATAATTTTTTTCAAATTTATGAATTAAATAGATTTTTTAATCTTAAAATGTCTATTAAAAGTAATAATTATGAAGCAAAAAAGCAAAGATATTGATATTTAATAATAAAATTTTTTTGTTATATTAATTATGATTCTATTTTTACTAACTAAAATAATATGCGATATTACTATTATTAAGTACTAATTTGAGAAGTTTTTTCTTTTATTAGATTTTCTAAATATTTAAAAAATGAAAAGGAATATTAAATTTTTTTTAATTAAACCATTTGTTTATATTTATTAATGTTATCTAGTACTATTTTTAATTTGTTTAAATCCAAGGTAGACAAATAAGTCAAATAACTATTACAATATTTTAATTTAAAATACACTAAAAATAGCACTAAAATCTATAAAAATATGTATTGTAACATAATATAAAAGTCTTTTTCAAAAATGTAAGAATATTTAAAGATATCTCTTTAGAAACATTTAACATTCGCCTATTTATTGTCTAATATTTATTAAATAAATGTTAATTTTATGTTTTTATTTATTAAGTATAGGCCTATCTTATTCAGAACTATTAGGTTTATTAATTAAATTTAATTGCAATATTAATAGATTTTTTGATTTCTTTTTGGACTATTACTTTAAATAGATAGATTCAAGATTCATGTTTTTAAGATATTTAATAAATCAAACAAAAAATACAATTCAAAATCAAATAAAAAATGAAAATAAAGTTCTTTTTATTAATTACCTTCTGCTTAATTGGCTTATGCGTTTCAGAAGAAATTAATCCTGAAATACCTGTTGAAATAAATGAAAATACAGAAGATGGAGAAGAAGAAGAATTTAAAATGCCAGAAAAAATTTTTTCTTCTGGTTTCAATGTTAATATGTAAACATAAGAATAAGTAAATTTAGATGGTTAAAAATTAGTTGAATTATTTTAAAGAGAAGAATTAAATGGTGGATACTGTTTTCTTGACGTTATTGAAATTCTCTAAGCCGAATAAGAAGTTTATGATTCATTTCAATATGAATTAAGTTGCTATAAACATTTATGTTAAATAACATCAGAAATACCATCAAGCGAAGAATGGAGTAATTGTAGATTGAAATAGTGTAATTACTAGTATACAGGTGCTTTTGGTTATGTAAATTTTTTAAAAAGAACTATTACAGAATGCCTAATAGATTATGAGTAAGAATATACCTAAAATAATAATAACAGTAACAATAGTAACAATAATAACACTTCTTAATAAAATCCATATTTAAAAAAAGATGAAATAATAAGTTTCTCATCAAAAAATGACAGTGATAATTAAAGTGTTGTAAATGTTAAAAATATTGGTAATGATAATAAAACATTTTCATGCATACTTTCATTCTTATTAATAGGATTTAATATTATACTATTTTGATTTTAAATAAATTCATAAAATTGTTTATAATAATATCTGTATTCACAATTTATGTTTTTTTCATTTTAAAAATTAATTTAAATAAATTTATTTTTAGGTTTATCTGTGAAAAAAAATAAATAAATCAATTCATTTTTTATCAAACAAACTTCATTTTTTGATAAGAAAATTCAATAAAAAAAGGTATTAATTTAAAAATTGACTAAATTAATTTGGTTTTTCTTTTAAGAGTTTTTTTTATAATCCAAATCGCTGTATCTAAACTTGCAGCTCGCTCCTCTGAATTAAATGCAAAAAATAAAATATTTCTCTGTTTTAAAGAGTATATTATATATATATATATGGAGTTTCTTTTACTGTAATTTAATTTTCTCATGCCTTCGACTAAAATTAAAATTGCTTATGATAGGAAGTATAACAAATATAACAAATCATGATATCGTTAAATGTTGGTAATATTTAAAATGGAGGAACAGCAATATATGTATAAATATTTTTTCCTTTATATAATTGGAAGAAATTATCATAGTTGATTCTTGTTTTATCTTTCTCATAAATAAAATTAGACAATTAGAATTTTGTTAGATTCATTATTTAAATATATTTATATAAATTGTAGATATATTGTTCTAATATAAAAATAGCAAAACAATAAAATTAAAAATATTAATTCTTGATAAAAAAAAGTATTTTAAAATGAAGTTATTTATTTGAGTTATTATAATTTTAATATTTAATTATTTATTATTTTCAATTAAAAATGAAATTATACACTTTTTATTTACATTTTATATTAATAAAAGCTTTGAATTTTATCAAAATAAATAATTATCTGATATATATGTATTGCTTTAAGTAATAGTTAATCTTTCATAAAAAATTAATTAATTAAATTTTTACAAAATTTGTTTTTTATTGAAAAAAAAATGATATTAAAGAAATTGGCCTTTGAAGATTTAGAAGAAGTTTAAATTAATTTAGTATTCTTTGATTAAGAATGATTTTTATTATTAACAGTTTTTGTTATACGAAGCATCTTCTGACAATCCTCTCGAAATACATCTTAGGTAAAAATTAATTTATTTATCATAATAAATATCTAATTTAATTTTCTTCACATTTAAACCATTTGTAAAAATATAAAAGACACAGTAATATAAGTGAATAAGGTGTATAGAAGCTAAGTTCAGCTTTGGGAAAATTCACTAATCTTTAAGCTTTAAATATCAATCTTAGGTAAAAATAGACAGATTATTTTCTTTTATATTATTGATTTTTGTTTGCTTAATAGATATATTTACAAAAATGCAAACAAACAGTTTAATTATTATTAATAATTTTTATTTTTAGAGTTTTTTTATCTGATTTTCTAATCAATTTATTTTTCTCATCTTTTTTCTTCAGCTTTTTTCAGTCATTAAAAAAAAAAAAAATTAAAAGAGCAAATATATTAGGCGATTTAGGCACATCTGTTTTATGTTAAGGTCTTGCAAATTGCACACATATTACAATGCTAGAGCTTGATCTTGAGTAATAATAAATAATTAATCATTTCTATTTTAGAATTAATTCAAAAAATATGATATTTTTTTTCTTCAATTTCTTTAATTCATTTAAAAAATATTTTGGTTTTGTTTTAATTATTCATTAATTTATATTTTTTAATACATGTTTAAATTTTCAACTTAAGCGATTTATTTTTTCCATAGTTTATTTCATTCAATATTTAAAGATTTAATTAAATTGGGAACTAGGGAGCAGCTGCTTTAGGCTCTATTTTGGCAAGCTGCTTAAGTCTTTAAACTTTAAACTTAGATCTGAGGTAACGAACTAACTAAATAGCTAACTAACTATCTAACTAAATAACACTTTCTATTTATTTTAAATCCTATAACTAAATTTATTGCTAAAAGTTGCCAATTATATATTGATTAAAAAGGATTCTTTTATTATATATACTAAAAGTTCTAATTTAATCAGTGTTTTTGGCTTAGAAGCTTTAGGTTCAGCTTTTGCTGCCATAATAAATCTTTCTACTTTAATACTAAGATTTAGGTAAAAAAAATTTTTACTTTTTAAGCAATTTAAATATTTAAAAAAAGAATCTTTTTAATTTGCTTGTATTTTATTTATTTAATTTAAATTATCTATTTTCTTTATTGACTTACTTATTTCCTTTTTTAAATTTCTAAATTATATTAGAAACAATTTAATTTGTGCAGATGGAGCATGTGCTTTAGGATCTGGTTTGACAAGCTGCAAAAATCTATAAATTTTGAAACTTGATCTTTAGTAAATTAATAAACAAATAAATGAAACTATTTTTTATTATTTAGTTTTTTTAATTAAAAATTAAAATATTTGCAATATTAATTTTCATTTTAAAAAATTATTTAATTTAAATTTCTATTTGATAATTATTTACAAATTATCTATTTCTTCTAATATAAATTTGTAATAAAAATTAAATTCTTTTTAATTAAATAATTTCTTCTATTTATTTATAAACAAAATACCAAAAGGTCAAATTAAATCAGCTCAAAAGGTGCTTAAGCTTTAGGTTCATCCTTGGCTACATTTAATAATCTCTCAAATTTAATCTTAAACCTTGAGTAAAATAAATTAATTTATTTTTTTTAAACAAATTCTTTAAAAAAATAAAAGCAAATTGCCTATTGCAAATTTGATTAAAAAATTTTTTGAAAATATTTTGCTTATTTATTTTAATTTTTATTGAAACATTTACATTTGTTATGTTAAAAGAGATAATTAGATCAATTCATAAGGCGCATTAGATTTATGTCAGGCTTTGGTAAACTCTAGAAATCTCATTATTTTATCTCTTTTCCTTGGGTAAAATTATTTTGCAAAAGTTTTCAAATTTAAAACTGCTTGCTTAAAATCTAAATGTTTATTTTATTCACTTACTTTAAAAGTTAATAGATAGATAGATAGATATTTTATAGATAATATTATATAAAAATTTACATTTTCATTTTATTAATTTTTAAATCCATTCTCAAAAATAAACTATTCAGTTTTATAATAATTAATTAGTGTTGTTTTTTATCTAATTAATAAATGCATTTTTATTAGTAAAAATGAAATAGGAGATGAAGGTATATCTAGTTTAGCTATTCCATTTGCAAAATTTTCTATTCTTTCGACTTTAAAGCTCTGCTTCTTGTAATAATACTTTAAATATTTTAATCTAAGCTGTATTACAAATTATTTACTTTGCATTTATTTTCTACATTAATGATTTTTTATTTATTTTATTTTTATTTTTTTGTATTTCTACCTTTTTATTCTCACTTTAATTTTTAAAGATCAAGCTCTCTTTCTTCACAAGGCATATTAGCTTTTGGTTCTGTTTTTGTAAGCCCAGCTAATCTCATTGATTTAAATCTTAGCTTCTTGTAATAAATTCAAATTATATTTTATAATTTAAAAAGTGATAAAAATAGCTTTTTTTCAAAACAATTTTGATATCAGCATGCATGTATAAAGTGTTTTTGAAAAATTTTATGCTTTTTAAAAATATAAATTTATAAAATCGAATACTTTTAAAATTGGAAAGTGCTATATTTAATTAGAAAGAAATTAAGATGAATAATTTACAGTAAATATAAAATATAATTAATTAATTAATTATCAATATTGGAAATTATAATTATTATTTTACTAAAAAAATTAATTAAAAAATGAATGAAAAAATAGTTATAAAATAGATATTTAAAGTAAAACTATTTTTCATAGCATATAATATAAATTACATTTTTTAGTTTCGATATTTTTTCAGATTAGATAAAATATTTATTTGAAATAATTTTAAGTAACAATTAAATTGATGGGATGGGTGCATCAGCTTTAGGTCTAGCTTTGGCAAAATTTTCTAATCTTTCAACCTTAACTCTTGACTTAAGGTAAAAGCAGCTTTTTTATTTTAAATTAAAGGTATAATAGAGAGAACATTGATTAATTAGTTCTTGATTTAATTATTTTTGCTTTTTCTTTTTATAAATTTATTTGAATCAATAATTTTCTGTATCATTACCATTAAATTCTTCTACATATTTTTCTGCCTTTTTCAAATTAAGGAATGGATTTTATAAAAATTCTAAAAAGATACAATTAAATTGGTGGTTAGGGAATATCAGATTTATGCTCTGCTTTAGCAAGTTGTTTCAACCTATTAAATTTGATTCTAGATCTTGAGTAACAATTTTTATTCATTTTTTTAGATTTTAATATTCAAATAAAACAATTTTATTTTTTTATTTCAGATTAATTTTATTTTTTTCTTTTACTTTAATATTACTTACTTACTTACTTTCTTTTTAAAAATTAAAGTGATAATTAAATTGGTACTTAAGGTGCATTAGCTCTAACTTTTGCATTACGAAAAATACCCAATTTATAAGTACTCACACTCTCAATTAAGTAAAAAAAAAATATTTAGATAAAGAAAGATCATATTAAAATATTCTTTGTTTTGTTATTTTAATAAAGATTTTTCATTTTAACAATAGCTTTATTAAATTATTTTTATTGCATTAAATTAAATTAAAAAATAAAAGTTACAACTAAATTGAAAATGAATCTAGATCTCTTATAGCTTACAGGATTCTTAAAATGAAGAGATTAGTAATGAAACAAATATATTTATGAGTTTATAAAATATTATTATATTTTAAAATCTTAAAGTTTGAAATTAAATAATAAAATCATATTTAGTTTTATTAACTATAAATTACTTGCTATTTGTTATTTTATCTTTACGAGTATTTGTTTAAAAATAAATAAATAAATAAATAAAGAAAAATAAAATAAATCAAATATTTCTATTAAATAAATATATTTCAAAGATTAATTAACTTGTCTGTCTTCTACTTTTTAAAGAATAAATGAATATAAAATTTTAAAAACGATGAAGATAAAAAAAAGTAAATATTTAATTTATTTATATAGAGTTAAATGCCTTTTTAATTTTGGATAGGCTATACTAATGAATATTTAATTAAAAGAAACCTATACAAATAAATGTTTAGTTTAAAAAATATTATTTTACTTTCTAAATTTCAAAAAGATTTCTGTCCTTTAATAAATTTAGTAAGCCTTTTAAAAATGAATTAAATATAATTATTAAATTTAAAATAAAAACAATTTAATGAATAATATAATAATAATTTTGAATTTCATTAATATGATATAATTGTTAGCGATATTTCAAATACAACAACAATATAGGAACATTTATTTTAGAGGAAAATATTTCCCTATTTAGTAAATTTTTAGCAGATATTTACTTTATATTAATTTTTATTTATTTTTTAATGATACATTCTCAATTATTCTTGATTATTTGATTTTTTGCTTACAATTATTAATTAATAAATACTTACAAAAATTATTAATAGCAATAATTATTTCTTTATCTCCAAATATTTTAGTTTCTTCCTGATTATAAAATGGATAAAGCTAGCTTTTAAACTCTAAAATGCCGCAAACATCAAAAAAAACATCTTCAATTCGTTTAAGTGAACAATGTTCTAAACCAAGAAAGTTAAAACAAAGAGCTTTTTTACTGTTCTTCATGCTTCAATCATGATCTTGATTTTAAATCAATTAATTTTCTGATGATTGATTAGATTCTCTAAGAAGCAGAAAGCGGCATTATCCCAAAATGGCCTCCAGTCAACAATTATTAGATTATTTAAGACCTCATAGATCTCACTTCTAAAGAATCTGAGTTAAATTACGAAAAATAAATTATTGATTTCTTTAATGAGTTAAAATAATAGCTTTTCGCAAAATTAGACATTATCTAAAAATAAATGATCAACGAAACTCATAAGTATCCAATAGATAATCATCAAATTATCAAAAGATATTAAGAAATTTCAAATATCCTTTAATTTAAGCAACTTCTCATGAATGAATAGGAAAATAATCTCTAAGAGCATTCAACTCTTTGTAGGTAATTCATCTAACAAATCGAATCTTAAAAAGATAAAAATACTGAATTATTACAAAGTCTACTTACTTAATCTAATTAAATATAAAAAAGCTTCGATTTAGAGTATCCAATTTTTATTAAATAGCAATTATTCACTTTGATTGATTCAATTTCCTTCTTTAATTAAGATAAATCATAAGCCAGTATAAACCAAAATAATTAAGGCACTTAGCAATCGAACATTGACACCTAAAATAGTAATAAAATAACAGCTGATTTAATTATGAAGTTGATTTCAAATAAATCAAACTTTTGTTCTGATTAATTTATAAATGAATTGAATTCGAGTTTATAAAAGCTAGATCCTCTTCTTTAATAATTGAAATTTAAAAATATTTTCTAAGAAAATAAAGAGCCAATAGAATTTTCCAAAATTAGTGAAGAAAAACTAAATTTGATTGAAGAGTATGTTAAACATTCTATAAAATTAACATCTGATTAATAATACCAAAACATAACAAAGAATAAATTGGAATTAAAGTAAATTAATGAAATAATGAATTCTAAAATGAATTTCTTAGATTAAGAATTTATTTAGAAATTTGAAAAGTGGACTGTTGATATGTAACCATTCTTAACATAAATAAATTTCTAAAACTATATTTAAGATAGAAATAAATTTGATTTGCTTAAAAACTTGGGAAATAATAGAATAAACGATATAATTATTACTGCTTAGAAGGGATTATTGTATTTAAATTTAGATTTATTTGGGACTGAATATTAAAATGGACAATAAGTATTTGTAGTTAGGAAAAATGCAAATAATGAATACATCATTACAAAAATAAATAGTAATGCTTTTACTTGTTGTATTTCAAATTTTGATTTAAAAAAGAATCTAAAATATGTTTTTAGGTTAAAACTTGAAAAAATTAATCAAGAAAACTTATTTTATGTAGGTCTAATGAGAAATTCTATCTCTAAAAATTAAGGTGGGTGGGATGATAAATTGACTTGCTCACTAGAGAGCTAAAATGAATATTTAAAAAAAAATTATAATGATGGAATAAATATCTTACTTAAAGGAGAAAGTGAATTTAAGGCAAAAAAAGATGGTGTAATAGAAATACGAGTGTGCTTAAAAGATAAATTATTAGAAGTGACTGATTTTCCTAATTATCAATATAAACTAGGATTGGAAGATTAGTATAAATCTAAACTTGAATAATATGAAGATTTAAGATTTTATTTAGGTTTTGCAAATTCTAATATCTAAATATGCTTAAAAGATGTGGAAATTGTTGATGAGTTCAAATATTGATTAATAAAGGAATTAGTAAGGAATAAACATGAAATGATTATTATTAACTAATTTAAATTGTTATATATATTATATTGATTATTTAACATAATTAACAAATGTTTGATTTTAATTTTATGATATTTGATATAAATACACCATACTATTTATTTTTTTCTTTAATTTAATTAAAACTGTAAAAGATAATAAAAATTTTTTTTCTTTCAAATTGGTGTCTAAATTTTTAAAAGTGATCTTTATTTTATCATTATATTTTTCTACTTTTACCATAGATTGATATAATATAAATACATACTAATTGCTGCTTATGATAAATAATTGATTAATGTATGATAATCAATTTGCATATTTATCAAAAAATGTGCTTACAATATATTTTTAATATTTTTGTACATAATATGTGTTTGCTATAAAAAGATATTTCCATATGATCAAAAAGGTTATTCATCGATACATTTATTTAAATTAAATATATTTCATAAATGTAATACTGCTAAATTAGTTGATATTGACAATATATAATTCATATAAATTTAATTAAAAAGTAAATTTTTTAATATCCTAAAAATCCATATTTAAAATTAAAAAAAATTATTTTATTTATTAAACATCATTTATCTGCATCTATCTTATTTTTATTAAAAAATGCTTATCTTTCTATATTTTTAGCACTATTTGTTTGTTTTCAAATCAAATATTTATTTTATTATTTTAAAAATTAATTATATTAAAGATATAAACTTTAATTTTATTTAATTAATTTTAATATTTTTTAGCATGCGCTTTTAAATTTGAATTTCATATTTTTTATAAATCATCATAAAACAAACTAATATCTTTTTATAATTCTATAATTTTTGATAATAAAATTAAATCCTTCTCCTCCTCCTCATCATCATTTTTATCTTTTTATTTTACATATTTTGATATTGCTATTTGTAGCTAATTTTTTCTGTAGTTGAGAAGCTACATGTTAAAATAAATAAAAAAATAAATTAATTAATTTTTTAATTTTTTGTAATTTTATATTTATATATATTTTTGTTTATTTTAAATTTAAAATAAATAATTTTAATTTTATTTTATAATAAATAAAAAATAAAATATAAATTTATTGATACTTAATTTTATGTTGTTTTCTTTTTCTTATTTTATTTAATTAAATATTAATTAATTTATATATTAATAGATTGTGAAATCTATCATTATATTAATATTTTATTCATAATTTAATTATTTTTGATTTAAAAAATATTATTTTACTTTCAAAATTTCAAAAAGATTCCTGTCCTTTAACCAATTTAGTAAGCCTTTTAAAAATGAATATAAAATATAAATATAAAATTTAAAATAAAAACAATATAATTAATAATATAATAATAATAATTTTGAATTTCACTAATATGATATAATTTTAGTGATATTATTAGAGGAAAATATTTTCCTAGTTAGTAAAGTTGTAGCAGATATTTACTTTATATTAATATTTATTTATTATTTAATAATACATTCTCAATTATTTTTGATTAAATTTTAAAATAAAAACAATTTCATCAATAAAATAATAATAATAATTTTGAATTTCACTAATATGATATAATTGTTAATGATATTTAAAATACAGGAACATTTATATTAGAGGAAAATATTTCCCTATTTAGCGAAGTTGTAGCAGATAATTACTTTATATTAATATTTATTTATTATTTAATGATACATTCTCAATTATTTTTGATTATTTGATTTTTTTGCTTACAATTATTAATTAATAAATACTTACAAAAATTATTAATAGCAATACTTATTTCTTTCTCTCCAAATATTTTAGTTTCTTCCTGATTATAAAATGGATAAAACTAGCTTTTAAACTCTAAAATGCCACAAACATCAAAAAAAACATCTTCAATTCGTTTAAGTGAATGATGTTCTAAACCAAGAAAGTTAAAACAAAGAGCTTTTCTACTGTTCTTCATGTTTCAATCATGATCTTGATTTTAAATCAATTAATTATCTGATGATTGATTAGATTCTCTAAGAAGCAGAAAGCGGCATTATCCCAAAATGGCCTCCAGTCAACAATTATTAGATTATTTAAGACCTCATAGATCTCACTTCTAAAGAATCTGAGTTAAATTACGAAAAATAAATTATTGATTTCTTTAATGAGTTCAAATAATAGCTTTTAGCAAAATTAGACATTATCTAAAAAAAAATGATCAACGAAACTCATAAATATCCAATAGATAATCATCAAATTATCAAAAGATATTAAGAAATTTCAAATATCCTTTAATTTAAGCAGCTTCTCATGAATGAGTAAGAAAATAATCTCTAAGAGCATTCAACTCTTTGTAGGTAATTCATCTAAC